ACAAAATGCAAAGAGGATTCTCCACACATTAAACGTGTAAAGCATCCTTAAGTCTTTGATAGTATCATGATAAGAATTGTAGTAGGAGAAAAGAGTGAAATTACCAAAGGGACGTACAGGATTCTGAGGAGAGGTGAGCAATCCTGAAGGAGAATCCTACTCCTTCAGTGGGGCTTACTTCCAGGAAAGTGTTGTTAGAAATTGCACTGCTAGTTAGACGGACCTTTACAACGTTCCTGGAAGAACTCAGTAGGCTTCCCAATGATTAACAGTGGAGCTCCTGAGCCAGGCCTCCTTTGTTCAGCCTTGCCTCTGTGGCTTCTGCCATGCTGCTTCCCATGCCTGCAACACTGTGTGACCCATTAGTCAGTCTCAGCCTCACATTTCCATTTCAAGATCTTTTCCTCAGCAAAGCTTCTTCCAGATCCCTCTTGTCTTCTGCACAGCCCTTCCACCTGTCTCCCCCTGATCAGTTACTCATCTTCACGCTCTATCCTTGCTTGGTCTATATCTAATAGGCAGGCAGGGAGCACACCACTTGGGCATCTGTAGAAAGCCTAGTGGCAGAAGTGTCAAACTCATTTGTTATGAGGGCCAGATCTGACATAACTGTCACTTTGTCCGGCCAGGCCATGTGTGCCATAAAATGAACGCCAGGTACCGGAGATATCTTACCACTGACCATGACCCATACTCCTCCTCAGCAGAACTCAGGGCCAAACCAGCCCTCCTCAACCCTTATGGTTGCCAACTCTGGTTTGGGCCTTCCAGGAAAGTGTTGTTAGAAATTGCACTGCTAGTTAGACGGACCTTTACAACGTTCCTGGAAGAACTCAGTAGGCTTCCCAATGATTAACAGTGGAGCTCCTGAGCCAGGCCTCCTTTGTTCAGCCTTGCCTCTGTGGCTTCTGCCATGCTGCTTCCCATGCCTGCAACACTGTGTGACCCATTAGTCAGTCTCAGCCTCACATTTCCATTTCAAGATCTTTTCCTCAGCAAAGCTTCTTCCAGATCCCTCTTGTCTTCTGCACAGCCCTTCCACCTGTCTCCCCCTGATCAGTTACTCATCTTCACGCTCTATCCTTGCTTGGTCTATATCTAATAGGCAGGCAGGGAGCACACCACTTGGGCATCTGTAGAAAGCCTAGTGGCAGAAGTGTCAAACTCATTTGTTATGAGGGCCAGATCTGACATAACTGTCACTTTGTCCGGCCAGGCCATGTGTGCCATAAAATGTAACGCCAGGTACCGGAGATATCTTACCACTGACCATGACCCATACTCCTCCTCAGCAGAACTCAGGGCCAAACCAGCCCTCCTCAACCGGGGAAGGGAGGGACTCTGGTTTGGGCAATCCCTGGAGATGTGGGGGAAGATCCTGGGGAGGGCCTGCATTTGGGGAAGGGAGGGACCTCAGCAGGGTATATAATGCCCTAATATATAGGCCCTTCTAGTCTACATTTGGACTCGTTCCCCCCCAGTTGCTTGTGGGCCAGATAAGAGCCCTGGATGGGCCTGTTCTGGCCCCTGGGCCATATGTTTAACATCTCTGGCTTAGTGCATTGCTGAAGCAACACGCATTAAATAGAAGTACAGTGCTATCATAACCAGAGTTATACCCTTCTATGCCAACTGAATTTAATGGACTTAGAAGAGTGTGACTTAGCCCAGGACTGTACCAGTAGTCTCACATTATACTATGTAATGTACACCTCTTGTGCTTGCTGTCCTGTCATTAAATATCAAACCACCTGAGAACTGCTGTTAAGTATAGAGTCACACTGCCTTTTTATGTGGTGATTATCGTACAATTACAAATGTTCTGTGGTCAAGATTATCTCTGCATCACTTGAATGTGCATTAAAAAGGCAATAGCTGGCATGTAATTTATCCCCCCCCCAAAAAAAACAAGCTGCTGCATGATAGTTGAAGAATCACATGGAATTACTCCATCCATAGGCGTCAAAGGCAGTTTTAAACATCTGCAGACTCAGCCTGCCCCCAAGCCCAAACACTAAGGTGTATGGGCCAAATTAGATTTGTGAGGGGGGGGGCATCTATATATCTAATTCCCACAGGGGGTGGGTTTGTGCGGATACTTATTTCTGCCAACAGAGGGCTCACTCTCCCCCAACAGCTTTTCCTACATTGTCAGTAGACTTCCTGTATCTGCAGAAAAATCCAAAAAGTAAAAAAATCCCTTCAGGGAGGGTTGAATTCCCCCCAATACCTTTTGAAATTGCCTCTGCAGGGATCTAACTCCAGACATCAATGGTGAGAGATTAGAACGTGAAAGATTAGAACATTGGGGGGGGGGGGGAGGCTTCTAACTGGCTCTGTCAGTAAAAGGGTAGGGGAAGGACCCTTTCCTGGCCTCTTTTGGCCTTTGAGGGAGGGAGGGAGGGAGCCTTGGGCCAGGCCTGACAGGGGTTGCTGCCAGTGCTAGGCTGGGGAATCCCTAGAGGTTTTGAGGTGGACTGTAAGGAAGGCTGGGTTTGGGGAAGGGAGCTGGCTATAATGCCACAGAGTCTCCAAAGCAGCCATTTTCTGCAGGGAGACAGGCCTCTGCTGTCTAGAGTCCAGTTGTAATTCTGGGGGGTCGCCAGGTCCCACTGGGAGGTTGGCAACCCTAGGCCTGGCAGCAGTCTAGGGTTGCCAGGTCCCCCCTGACTTGCATGACAACT